GCGTAGCTACTACTATGTTAACTGTCCGGGTAGTTTAGGACCCACATCATGCTTGTTTATGTAAATCTTTATATTATCTTGGTATTCTGAACACCTAGGATATGCTAGAGGCTTAAAAAGGGAATAAGAACGTACTTGCATAATTGTTGAAGTCTTGCTTGGCATTATGACTATTGATGTGCCTTGTGTGTATACTTGATATTTCTACTTATTTGTGGATCGGGCTGGTCGCCTCGGTATGAATAGATGCATCTATAGGCGCGCCGTCGACCCTCGGCAAGTGCACAGTTTATTTCTGTTGGATCGGGCCGTCGCCTCGGCATATTTGCGCATGCTTATATAGCTTTGCCTGAGAGTGTTAAATATTAGAATTGTTGTTTTTCATGACTCAAAAGGAATTCATAACTGTAACTGAAGTAATTGATTATTCGGAATCTTAGCGAGAATATGACTTATATGCCTTGTTGTAAACTGTTGCCTATTAAAGAGTTCTCATTGTTAAACCTACATTTATAATATTATCTGACCCTAGTGAGTATCAAGTCGACCTCTCGTCTCTAATTCTCGAGATTAGACGGGATACTCACTGGGTACAAATTATTTATGTACTCATGCTATGCTCCTGTACTTATGTACAGGGTCTGAGGCAGGTGGATCCGGCTATTTCTCTGGTGCGCATTCGTGAGCGGACTTGGGACTTCCACGGTGAGCTGCTTTCCTTCCATATCGATCCGCAGCCGAAGAAGTCTTTCTTTTGTATTGTTATATTCTGTCTATTCTGATCCAGACAGTAGGTAGTGTGGTATTCTTTTGGGTTGTATATTCTACTAGTTGCCCGTAGCTTGTGACACCAGGTTCTGGCACACACTTTGGTAGACGATTATTTTGGGGTTGTGTAACTATTTTATTATAGTATTTATCTCTCCTGGTTTTAAATTCCAAGTTGGGGTTTATTCCACTTATTCTAATTAAAAACAATATGATTATTTTAGTAATATTTCCGCAATGGCTTGCCTGACAAGGGTGTCAGGCGCCCTCACAACCTATTGTGAAAATGGATCGTGACAACATGGTATCAGAGCACTAGGTTCACGTAGGTCTCACGAGTTATGGGCAAACCTGATAGAGTCTTGTTGATCGGTACGGAGACGTCTGTATTTATCTTCGAGAGGCTATAGGGTATTAGGAAAGACTACTCTTTATTCATTTCCTGTCGTGCAGTGCTTAGAGTACTAAATTTCCCTCTTCTATTCTCTCACAGATGGTGAGAACTCGTACCGCTGACGTTCCGGACCCGGGAGGAGCTATTCCCCCCGTTGCTAGAGGCCGAGGTAGAGGCCGGGGGAGGGCACCGGCCCGTGGTAGGGGACGAGGGCGTCCCAGAGCCGTTCCAGTTGCACCACCGGCAGATCCTGTGGAGGACCCTATTATTGAGGAGCAGGGCAAGGTGCCCGCAGCTGAGCCTACCCCGGCGGATTTCATGACAGCACCGGGATTTCAGGAGGTCATGGGCCGCATGCTACGATTCATGGATACTATGACTCAGGCGGGTTTATTTCCAGCAGACCCAGCCACTTCACAGGCAGGAGGGGGAGCCCAGACCCCTACTGCTCAGGCTCCAGGCCACACAGCTGCAGTATATCAGACTCCGGGTGCACTACCCGCAGATGGGGCTCAGCCAGTTGCTGCAGTGGCACCCCAGCCCAGGCCAGCTGCGGATGGTGACCTACAGAAGTTATTAGACAGATGGACCAGGCTTCACCCTCCAGTCTTCGGGGGTGAGTGTCATGAGGATGCTCAGGACTTCATAGACAGGTGCAGGGACAGACTGCACAACATGAGGATATTGGAGTCGCATGGAGTTGATTTCACTACTTTTCAGCTTGAGGGCAGGGCCCGTAGGTGGTGGCAGTCCTATGTACTCGGCAGGCCAGCAGGTTCTCCTCCCATCACTTGGGATCAGTTTGTACAGTTGTTCTTGGATAGGTATATCCCGCCCTCTGAGAGGGAGGAGCTGCGGTACCAGTTTTAGCAGCTCGAGCAGGGTCAGATGTTTGTGACTGACTATGAGGCGAGCTTTTTCGAGTTGTCCCGCCATGCACTCATGATACTTCCTACAGATGCGGAGAGGGTGCGGAGGTTTGTCGCTGGATTGTAGCCCGGTATTCGATTTAGTATGGCTTGAGAGGTGGAGATGGGCACACAGTATCAGCTAGTGGTCGAGATTGCTCGTCGGATTGAGGGATATCGCCAGAGGGGTAGAGAGCAGATACAGCAGGATAAGAGAGCTAGGTTCTCCGGCGGGTTCAGAGGTGCCCCAGCTAGGGGCAGTGGTCAGTATGCCAGTTTCAGCACCACCTCCTACCCGGGGGGCTCCAGCACGCCCCTATCTCAATGCTATGCCAGAGACTTCCTACCGCCCGCCAGCTATTCAGGGTTCCTCCAGTGGGTATTTAGGACCCCAGGGTCCTCCTGATTCTTATTTCAGTGCCATGCCGGAGAGTTCATGTCGTCCACCGGCTATCCAGGCTTCTTCCAGCGGTTCTACGGGTTATCAGGGCCAGCCATCAGGGCAGCAGGTCGCCGCCCTGCGCTGTTGCTTTGAGTGCGGAGATCCCGGTCACATGAGGAGATACTACCCCAGGCTTTGGGGCAAGGCAGTGCAGCAGGGTCAGCAGTCCACGATTCCAGCACCAACTGCCCAGCCACCTAGAGGTGGAGGGCAGACGGGTAGAGGCCGTCCTAGAGGTGGAGGCCAGACAGGGAGGGGTCAGCCAGCTACTACTCAGTTAGGTGGAGGTCAAACAGCCGGCGCTCCAGCCAGGTTCTATGCTCTTCCAGCCAGGCCGGATGCATTGGCCTCAGATGCCATCATCACAGGTATTATTCCCGTTGGTGGTAGAGATGCTTCGGTATTATTTGATCTAGGGTCTACTTATTCAAATGTATCATCTCTGTTCGCTCGCTTCCTGGTTATTTCTCCTGAGCCCTTGGGTGTTCCTGTTCATGTGTCCATACCTGTGGGTGATTCTGTGGTTATGGATCGGATCTACCGATCTTGTGTGGTCACTTTCTGTGGTCTCGAGACTAGAGCAGATCTTTTGTTGCTGGACATGATCGATTTTGAGGTCATCTTGGGCATGGACCGGCTATCTCCATATCACGCTGTCCTTGATTGCCATGCCAAGACTGTTTCACTAGCGATGCCAGGATCGCCGAGATTGGAATGGAAGGGTTGCACAGTTGACATGCCTAGCAGGGTTATCTCTTTCCTGAAGGCTCAGCACATGGTTGGAAAAGGGTGTTTGGCTTACTTAGCTTATGTTCGAGACACCACTGTAGAGTCTCCAACGATTGATTCAGTGCCAGTAGTTCGAGAGTTCGCCGATGTATTTCCTTCTGATCTGCCTGGCATGCCTCCGGATCGTGATATTGATTTCTGCATTGATTTGGCCCCAGGCACTCAGCCTATATCCATTCCACCATACCGTATGGCCCCTAAGGAGTTGAAGGAGCAGCTAGAGGAGTTGCTAGCAAAGGGGTTTATCAGGCCCAGTGTATCGCCTTGGGGCGCGCCAATGCTATTTGTGAAGAAGAAGGATGGGACCATGCGGATGTGCATTGATTACCGCCAGTTGAACAAGGTCACCATCAAGAACAAGTACCCGTTGCCTCGTATTGATGATTTGTTCGACCAGCTGCAGGGTGCCAGGGTGTTCTCTAAGATTGACCTGAGGTCAGGATATCATCAGTTGAAGATTCGGGACTCGGATGTTCCGAAGACTGCATTCCGGACTAGATATGGCCATTATGAGTTTCTAGTGATGTCCTTTGGCTTGACCAATGCGCCAGCAGCATTTATGGATCTGATGAACAGGGTATTCAGGCCTTATATTGATTCCTTTGTCATCGTCTTCATTGACGACATCTTGATATACTCGCGTAGCCTGGGGAAGCACGAGCAACATTTGAGAGTAGTGCTTCAGACCTTGCGAGAGCAGCAGCTGTATGCTAAGTTCTCCAAGTGTGAGTTTTGGCTCGAGTCAGTGGCATTCTTGGGGCATGTTGTGTCCGGAGAGGGTATTAAGGTGGATCCCAAGAAGATTGAGGCAGTTCAGAGTTGGCCACGTCCCACTTCAGTGACCGAGATCAGGAGTTTTCTGGGATTAGCAGGTTATTACCGGCGATTCGTGCAGGGCTTTTCATCTATTGCATCACCCTTGACTAGACTGACTCAGAAGGGTGCTCCATTCATTTGGTCCGATGATTGTACGGAGAGCTTCCAGAAGCTCAAGATAGCTTTGACTGCGACACCAGTTCTTGTATTGCCATCCGGTACGGGGATGTATATAGTGTATTGCGATGCTTCACGAGTTGGTCTGGGATGTGTGTTGATGCAGGAGGGGAGAGTTATTGCATATGCCTCGCGTCAGCTGAAGATTCATGAGAAAAATTACCCCGTGCACGATCTGGAGTTGGCAGCGATTGTTCACGCTCTTAAGATATGGAGGCACTACTTGTATGGGGTGCCTTGTGAGGTTTACACCGATCACCGCAACCTACAGCATTTGTTCAGGCAGAGGGATCTCAATTTGAGGCAGCGCAAGTGGCTTGAGTATCTGAAGGATTATGACATCACCATTCTTTATCATCCGGGCAAGGCGAATGTGGTCGCGGATGCCCTGAGCAGGAAGGCGGAGAGCATGGGTAGCCTAGCATTCATTCCAGCAGAGGAGAGGCCACTAGCCTTGGACATTCAGTCCTTGGCTAACAGACTTGTGAGGTTGGACATTTCAGAGCCCAGCCGAGTTCTAGCGTGTGTGGTCGCCCAGTCCTCGTTATTGGGGAGATTAAGGACCGACAATACGATGATCCACATTTGGCAGTCCTTAGAGAGACGGTACTTCAGGGAAGTGCCAAGGAGGTTTTTATTGGCGAGGATGGTGTGCTGCGGCTCCAGGGTCGTCTATGTGTTCCTAATGTGGATGTCTCAGGAAGAGGATCCTAGAAGAGGCCCACAGTTCGAGGTATTCTATTCACCCGGGAGTTACGAAGATGTATCGTGATTTGAGGCAGCACTACTGGTGGCGGGGGATGAAGAAGGACATAGTGAAGTATGTGACTAAGTGTTTGAATTGCCAGCAGGTCAAGTATGAACATCAGAGGCCAGGTGGCCTACTTTAGCAGATGCCCATACCAGAGTGGAAGTGGGAACGCATCACTATGGACTTCGTAGTAGGGTTACCGCGGACTTTGTGGAAGGTTGATTCAGTGTGGGTCATTGTGGATAGATTGACCAAGTCGGCCCATTTCATTCCAGTGGCGACTACTTATACAGCAGAGAGGTATGCTCAGATCTATATTCGGGAGATAGTCCGATTGCATGGTGTGCCGGTGTCCATCATATCAGACAGAGGTCCTCAGTTCACTTCCCATTTCTGGAGAGCCGTGTAGAGTGAGTTGGGGACTCGCATAAAGCTTAGCACAGCATTCCATCCTCAGATCGACGGACAGTCGAAGCGGACGGTGCAAATTTTGGAGGATATGCTTAGAGCATGTGCGATTGATTTTGGAGGGCAGTGGGATCAGTTCTTGCCTCTAGCAGAGTTCGCATACAACAACAGCTATTAGTCCAGTATAGAGATGGCCCCATATGAGGCTTTATATGGTTGACGATGTCGTTCTCCTATCGGGTGGTTTGAGCCTGGTGAGGCTAAGGTACTTGGCACAGATCTGGTACAGGATGCCTTGGATAAGGTAAAGTTGATTCAGGAGAGGCTTCGCACAGCTCAGTCCAAACAAAAGAGCTACGCGGATCAGAAGGCACGGGATGTATCATTTATGGTGGGCGAGAAGGTTCTCTTGAAAGTCTCGCCCATGAAGGGCATTATGAGGTTCGGGAAGAAGGGCAAGTTGAGCCCAAGGTTTATTGGCCCCCTTGAGGTGTTGAGGAGAGTTGGGGAGGTTGCTTATGAGCTTGCTTTACCCCCTAGTATATAGGGAGTTCACCCAGTCTTTCATGTTTCGATGCTTCGGAAGTATCATGCCGACCTATCCCACGTGTTGGACTTCAGCACCATTCAGCTAGATGAGAGTTTGGGCTATGAGGAGGAGCCAGTTGCTATTATTGATAGACAGGATCACCAGCTGAGGTCCAAGAAGATTTCTGCGGTGAGAGTCCAGTTGAGGGGCCAACCGGTCGAGGAGGCGACCTGGGAGTCCGAGGAGGACATGCGGAGCAGATATCCCCACTTATTCAGCAGTCCAGGTACTTTTCTATGTCCGTTCGAGGACGAACGTTTGTTTAAGAGGTGGAGAATGTAATGACCCGACTGGTCGTTTTGCCTTTTAGAACCCCGTTCCCCTAAATAAAGCCTCTCGTAATTGCTTTAACTAATTTACGACTTGCGAGGGCGATTGGTTCGAGGATTGGAAGAGTTTTGAGTAAAAATATTCCCGTTTGCTTCTTTAGGATTTCTTAGAAAGACCAAGTTTGACTTCGGTCAACATTTTGGGAAAACAGGCCTGGATTCATGATTTGACAATTTCTGAGGGTCCGTGGGAAAATATGGGACCTGGGCGTATGTCCGAAATCGAATTCCGAGGTCCCTAGTCCGAGTAATGAATTTTTAACTAAAATTGTTTAATTTAAGCTTTAAGGAATTAAAGAAACTAAGTAATCATTGATTCCCTATGTATCGGGCTCGGATTTTGGTTCCGAAGCTTGGTACAGGTCCGTAATGTCGTCTAAGACTTGCCCGTAAAATTTGGTGTCAATCCGAGTAGTTTAAGGGAGTTTTGACCCGTTAGAGGAGAATTAAGAACTTGAAGATTCAATAGTTTGATTCATTTGGTTTTAGGGGGGTGATTCCGAGATTTAGCATTGTTTAGGGAGTTCCGAAGGTTCGAATAGGTCTGCATCGTGATTTCAGACTTGTCGGTATGTTCGGGCGGGGCTCGGGAGCCCCGAGCGTCAAACGAGTGAGGTTCGAGCGAAGTAAGAAAATTGGGGGAGAACTGAAGTTTGCTGCTTCTGTCATAACCGCATCTGCGGTTCTTGGAACGCAGAAGCGGTACTGCAGATGGGGGCAGCCATTGCAAAAGCGGAAAGGGCCAGGCCCAGGGGAAACCGCAGAAGCGGCCCAGAGACCGTAGAAGCGGTCCCGCTTAAGCGGCCCCCAGACCGCAGAAGCGGTCCAACTCCTCAAGCCCAAACACGCAGAAGCGGCTCGACATCCGCATAAGCGGGCATCTGACCGCAGAAGCGGTCCAGGCTTCTTGAGCCATTTCCGCAAAAGCGGGCCTTTTTCCACAGAGGCGATTTCCGCAGAAGCGGTCATGGTGCCGCAGAAGCGGAAATCGCTGGGGGCAGGGAGTTCATTTAATCCGAACTCAAAGTCATTTATTCCATATACAACTCCACACTTGGGCGATTTTGGTGCTTCCAAAGAGAGGGTTTCAGCGTAGCATTGTAAGGTAAGTAATCCCCATTCATCTTTTGTTAAATACATTTATATTAGATAGATTAAACACTAAAAATTAGGTAAAATCAAAGGGTTAGAGCTAGACATAGGGTTTTAATAAAACTAAGATTTAATCATGTAATTTGTTATGAAATGGGTTAGAATTTATATATTATCGATCCTTAGGTTGTAGAGAGCAATTTCCTTCGAAAAATATTGGAATCCGGGCACGTGGGCCCGGGGTCGGAATTTAGGAAACTTGTGGAAAAGGTTGGGAAATTACTTAAATAGTTGGAATTCGACCTTTTAAGCCTTTATTGACTAGTTCTTACCTATTTTAACTAGTTTGCGATCGTTCGGCTTCGAATTAAGAGCTTGGGCTTGTTCTTGATATCGGGAGCGCGCTTTGGAGCGAGGTGAGTCTCCTTCCTAACCTTGTAAGAGGGAACTGTCCCCATAGAATTTATAATTGAGTAATTGTTGCTAAATGCGGGGGCTACGCACGCACTAGGTGACGAAAGTCCGTGCGTAGCTACTACAATGTTAATGGTCCGGGTAGTTTAGGACCCACATCATGCTTATTTTACATGGCTCTCTATATTATTTTATTACTATGAGCACCTAGGATATTCTAGAGATTTAAAAAGGGATTTAGAACGTACTTGTATAATTATTGAAGTCTTGCTTAGCATTTATGACTATTGATATGCTTTGTGTGAATACTTGATATTTCTACTTATTTGTGGATCGGGCCGATCGCCTCGGTATGAATAGATGCATCTATAGGCGTGCCGTCGACCCTCGGCAAGTGCACGGTTTATTTCTGCTGGATCGGGCCGTCACCTCGGCATATTTGCGCATGCTTATAGAGTTTTGCCTGAGAGTGTTAAATATTAGAACTGGTTTTCATGGTTCGAAAGAAATTGATAATTGTAACTGTATTAATTGATTAAATCGGAATTTTTGCGAGAATAGGACTTACATGCTTTGTTGTAAACTGCTGTTTATTAAAGATCCTTCATTGTTAAACTTAAACTCATAATATTATCTGACCCTAGTGAGTATCAAGTCGACCTCTCGTCTCTTCTTCTTCGAGATTAGACGGGATACTCACTAGGTACATATTGTTTATGTACTCATGTTATGCTTCTGTACTTAAATGTACAGGGTCTGAGGCAGGTGGATCCGGTTATTTCTCTGGTGCGCATTCGTGAGCAGACTTGGTACTTCTACGGTGAGCTGTTTTCCTTCCATGTCGATCCCCAGCCGAAGAAGTCATTCTTTTGTATTGTTATTTTCTGTCTATTCTGATCCAGACAGTAGGGTAGTGTAGTATTCTCTTGGGATGTATATTCTACTAGTTGCCCGTAGCTTGTGACACCAGGTTCTAGCACACACTTGGTAGACGATTATTTTGGGGTTGTGTAACTATTTTATTATAGTATTTATCTCTTCTGGTTTTAAATTCCAAGTTGTGTGTTTATTCCGCGTATTTCTAATTAAAAACAATATAAGTAAATTAGTAATATTTCCGCAATGGCTTGCCTGACAAGGGTGTTAGGCGCCCTCATGACCTATTGTGAAAACGGGTGGTGACTGGT